TATCTCCGTCTCATGCTTTGCCACTCCCCTCTTCTCTAACTGTATTTCCCAACCATACTGGAATTACTAGAAATACCAAGGGAGCTGGGCTCTTTCTTGCTTTCTCCTGACTTATGGATAAGATGCTCTGTAACTGACAATTCTATTTGACCTTTAGGTCTGAACATGAATGCATCCTCCTCCAGACCATATTCTCTACCCCTAAATTCTCCTTTTGATGAGGTTAACACTCTGTGCAAATATAAGCATTAGAAAACCAGATATGCATGAAACCACTGATAGTGGGGAAAGCGCAAAAGAAGAAACATGTGGATCACAGGAATAAAGAGCTCTACCCTCTTAGTGAAAAGGCAGTGCCCAATGTGTTGAGAAACAGTCTATGACTGTAGCACCTGCGAGAATAAATGGAGAAAGGCTCCTGAGGTTTCCTAAAATTGTATTCAGTAATGAGTATCAAAACAAAAAACCCCACAATGCCACCAAAGTCTACCAAAACAGCTTAGGAAGTCAGGATATAATAGTGCTGGTAGAAAAGACTCATTTTGTACACTAAGCTCCAAGTAGAACTGGGCCATTAATCTTTTCTCCTTTATAAGGCTTCTTTCTAGTCCATAAGTGTCTAGTTCTAATTCTCTTGAAGAATTCCATGAAAATAATAAAAATTATATTTTATGGTCCATGAGTGTTTAATGACTGGGAAGGCTATTTACTTTGATTATACTTTCCAGATTTGATGCACAAAAATAAAAAAAATGATTATAGTTGACTGTAGGTCCTATTCACCAAATCTTATGTGAAGTCACTACTGTAATTAATCTACTTTGTTGATACCCTTTGTTAATACTGTCAATAACTTAGCAACAAGGAAGAAACAGGAGGAAAAGAAGATTTTACACATAAAATTTTGTGTAATAAAATTTAATAATCACAGTACTTCTTTCCCCTAGGGAAGTAAGTTCAGTGAGTAAACTACATGCCATGTATGAGTTATGGAGAAGGATTCTCACTGAGACCATGGCATCTGTAAGAACTACTTTGGTTTGTAAGCTAGACAATGCGACAACTAATATTTATTATTTAATCCCCCACATGTGTTAGACAGGAAGGCTGTAGAGCTTTAATGTGTGCTGATCTTATCTGCAGTGTAAATAAGTTTTTGACAGGAGAGCAAATGCCTGGTCCAGTTTCCAAGAAGCCAAAATTCCTAAAAAAAAAAAAGTTCAGTTCTCAAAATGTTACCATTCATACATGACAGAACGTAAAGCTCCCTGGTATCATTCTAATCGTAACATTATCACTTTCTAACATTTATAGCCCATCAATCCTTTAAGGGTTAAGAGGAGGCAGATTTTAGAACAAATAAGGATTCTTAGGACAGTAAAGATCTGTAATTAGTACCTAGAGACCCTGTCATGGCAATTTGTTTCCAAGGTAGGTTAAATACCTGCAAGATGCCCAATGTGCTTTTTATTGGCTGAAGACATCTTTATTTCTTGGACAGGAATATGGTAAGCAAGTTTCCTGGGGTAGCAACTTAACTTACTTACAAGGCTAGTTATGATAGTCTACAACTTCTGTGTGCTTCACATGCATGCATTTTTTTTTTGTATCCTGATGCTGCCATCTGGTTTCAACATAACATCACTGTGCTCTTCCACCAAGTACAATGTTGGCACAGAGGTGGAAGATAAGTCAACCAGAGGGCTGGGGCAAAAATGAACTCCCCCCCAAAAAAAAAACTTCATAAAAGTCTGCTGAAGAATAACACACACATGTCTTCAGTAAGACAGTCATCTACTGTACAGCGTTAGAGGTAAATAAAATGTGCTACAGATCTTGACAACCAGGTCTGAATCCCAGCACTTCCACTTACGTTATAACCTAGCATAAGTTATTAAACCTCTTAATGTTTCAGTTCCCTCATCTCTGAAAGAGTAGCTATCTCAGAGCTAACATGAACATTAAATAAGCTAAAATATGGAAAGTGCTTAAAATAATGCCTGGCCTACCAGTAAGGGATACACAAGTTTATCCTTTATATTGTTATTAAAATCAGGCTAAGTGAGGAACTATTAAGACTGGATTAGGGTCCTGAAGCTCATCTTTCCCTTGAATGCAGGACTCCATACATGGAAAGAGGAAAAGTTTCTCTTTAAGTGTTCTAATTTCCCTTGTGGATTCCTGGCATGCTAATATTCCCCTCCATCTCCTATATTCTCCTCATTAAATGCTGAGTTCATACAAGATGACTGGTAAGGTTCACTTTTCTTGATTTATAATTCAGAAAAAGAATGGTATCAGTTTCACATGTTTCATCCTGTAACATATCTGAGACAGTACCAGAACAAAGTTGAATATATTCTTTAACAGTGGCTTATATACACTTTTTTTTTTAAGTTTAGGAAAAGAAAGACTAAATATTAGTGGTGTAGGGTAAAAAAAGATCCTCAGTGGCTAAAACAGACCCTGTAAATAGTAACTCAGCACTAAAAGACAGTGCTGGAGTTGTGGCTTAGTGGTAGAGTGCCTGAGTTCAAACCCCAATACCACTCCCCCCCGACACACACAAAGAGAAAGATATTGATATTTGTTAATAAGAGGTGAAGGTTAGCTGGCCTAATCAAAAATTTCTGTATGGTAACTTCAGGAGATCAAGATCCCCATAGGACCATAGGGTGCTGAGATTTATTGTCCTCAGTGCCTATCATTCACAGGACACTGTACTGTGACAGGGCAAGAACAGTGAAGACCCCTAAAGGGCATCCCATGTAGGCATTGAGAGTGAAGGCAAGATGCCACTATGGGAGCCCTGCCTTATACCACAGCAGTACCACGTCTCACCTCAGCAATGACAAACATTAGACTTTCAGGGTAAGCATACGGTATGAGTAAGTCCCACGGGTGGTTCTGACATGAACAGCAGCCCTTCTGGGGGAAAGCATCATAAAAGGGGTGGCAACTAAGCTAGGTTAGAAAGATAAAGCAGAAACTGGGAACAGGGGTGCACACCTTTACTCCCCGCACTCAGGAGACTGAGGCAAGAAGATAGTGAGTGCGAGACCAGCCTGGACTACAGAGTGAGACCCTGCCTAAAAAACAAACAAACAAACAAACACAACATCAAGATAAAGTAGATTTTCAACACAACAGGTTGTAGGCACTTCAGGGGAAAAACAAAAACAAAAATAAGGAGGAAGAAAGTCATGTGCCTGTTGGAAAAAACAGGGAAGACACCAGAATGGCTAGGGTAGATGGAGTAGGACCTGAATTATCAAGAGCAAGTGGAAAGATAGTTTAGAAATCTGTTTCTAGGGCTGCAGGGTTTCACCAAGGCGTTGGAGGCCATTGAGTTCTCTGCTTCCTCCTCACCTGAGGTTCAACAACAGAAACCCCACTGTGTGTACTTGCATGTGCACACCAACAGCATGGTTTCTTCAAATGTCCTTTGTAAAAAAGGGAGTCTACTGTTTAAAAAAATGTTTGTAGTACTTCGGGAGCTTACAGAAAAAAATTCAGAATCCCAAACAAAACCAAATTATTCAGGATGTAATTTCACCCGGAACCACTGTGTAGAGCCAGTCAGCCTATGGAGTCACTGAGGGCCTCCAGGTATGGTCCCGAGAGCAGTAGCATTAAGGCACATTCTACAGGACCAGAATGTACATTTTAAACAAGACTTCCAGATGACTGGGGTGCAGATGACTGTGTACATTTATGAATGACAGGCGCTGACTGGGAGGCTCTAAGTAGGGAACACACATGAAATCCATGTGATAAAAAATCTACCATTTACTGAGTATCTTCTATGTGCCAGATACTGTACAGGCACTTTTTCTACCTCTCAGAGTCTCAGTTTTCTTGTCTGTAAAAAACAAAACAAAACAAAACAACCCATTATTTATTTTGCAGGGGTGTCCTAAAAATCAGATACTTTCTATTTATATATGTCAAGTGCAGTGTCTGACAAAGAGTTGATTTTTTAAAAATAATAACTATTACTATTAACCTATGTCCTTCAAATTATTGCTACTCTGTAAACTTAAAATGATATCTAAAATAAAGGGCTAAATAAGTTCAGAGGTTTGGCAACAGTTAGACAGTGAATGGTGGAACTGAGTTTGAAGCTCAGATAAGTACTCAAAGTTATCTTTCTACACACCACTGACAGTGAGGCTTAGCGTAGACTAGAAGAAGGAAAAATGGAAGACTGTGATAGACTGGCAATAAACTAAATGTAATTCCCTACGTTACTGTTTATTAGATCAGAACTGGCTGACATTATAAACAGGTGCCAAAACACAGATAAGAAAATAAATCTATGTCCTAAACACTTAATAATTTAGCTAACTAAATTTAGTTAGTTAGTTAGCAAGTTAGTTAATCTCTGGATAGGTTTATAGAGCTGACAAAGCATTTTGATATGCATTGTCTTCTTTTTACCCTTACTACAACTGTGTGCGACAGAATTTTTGTTCTCAAATGAGATTTCCCCACTTACTTTTTCCTCCTTAAGTCTTTAAGGGCTGGGTGTGGTGGGTCACACCGGTAACTCTAGTTACTCAGGAAGTAGAGAAAGGAGGATCCAGGTTTGAGACCAGCACAGGCAAAAGCTAGTGAGACCTCATCTCAAAATAAGCCAGATACAGTGGCTCATTCCTATTATACCAGCTACTCAGAAGGCTGAGAAAGGAGGATCTTAGTTTGAGAACAGCCTGAGCAAAGTTACGTGTGTGATTCTATCTGAAAAGTAAAAGGACAGGAGTGTGGCTCAAGTGACAGAGTGCTTGCCTAGCAAAGGTAGGGTCCTGAGTTCAATCTTCAAATCAGCAAAAAGCAAAGAAACAAAAAATGTAACCAAAACAACAAAAATAACTATTAATTTCATAAACCTGGATTTTCTAATAACTCACTGTGCTTTCATGAAATCAGGTTTGTAGGTTATTTTGGGTTTCTTTTAAGACAGGATCTTATTATGTAGCTGAGGTTGACCTTGAACTTACCTTCCAAGTCCTGCACAGATCTCATCTCATCTCCTTTCTTGTTCCCTTCACTAGTAAGGATCAAGAATATAGGTGGGGTTTTGGTCAAAAGGAGTAAAAACAGGATGGGCAGCACCACCTAGGTTTATCTATCTACTTTGCTCCACAGAGAAAGGATGGAAGGTCCTCAAATGAGCAATAAGAGGCTCTTAGTAGAAGTGTTGCCCCAGCTGGAAGTGAGTTTTTAGAGACCAGTCACACAGAACAGTTTAGTGGAAAGGAATGTTATCAAAATAAACACTAAGAAGTTTACTTTTTGGCCTTTGGTATACTCACAAAATCTATTTTCCTTAAAATGAAATACCCTGTCTCCATCTACTATTTAACAGCTTAGATGTCTAAGGATGGTCTATTATACCTCAGATTTATGGGAGATTTTATAGTTTGCCCATGTAAAATATTTATAGAAGTGACTTTTAGCACTCAACTTGGTGATTTAATGTTATACAAAGTTCGTTAGTCATGGTATCTACATCGATTTTCTACAGTAGCTATTTCAGATTTTGGCCTTGGCGTTCTCTCTTTGTAAGCAAAACAAACACAAATTTTACAGGTCTGCTTTTTAAGAACCATCAGTTTGTAGTATCCCTTAATGATTCCTGTCTACATGGGCTATGTTTGAGGGATTTGGAGGGGTTTGCCTTTGGCAGTACTGCAATGGTGGAGAGAACATACACTATCCTTCCTCATCTTGCAGCATGTGCTAATACGTTAGGTTGTTGGCTGCCAAGTAGATTTAATTTATCCACTTCTCAGTTTGCATTAACCTTTCAATAATAAAGCACAGCTGAGGCTGCTGTAAGAAATAAGCCAAGGAATGAATAATTAAAAACACCTTTTCAGCCTTGGAACGAGCAATCCCTACCATTAGGGGAGTTCTAATTGTGACTGAACCAAGCATTAAAAAGGCTAACTGTGCTCTTTATAAACTGAAACAAACACTAAGGACATAGTGTGACGACAGTATATGTAGTATATGAAAAGCAAACCTCTGAAAGCACTAAGTAATTAGTTCAAATAAAAAGAATTGTTTTAGTGACTAAAACAATTTTTAAGATGGCCACTCTTACTGTCTACATGCAGAAAAAATTACCACTACTTATAAAAAAGCTATTATTCTTTTTTTTTTCATTTTTCTTTTATTATTCATATGTGCATACAAGGCTTGGTTCATTTCTCCCCCCTGCCCCCACCCCCTCCCTTACCACCCACTCCACCCCCTCCCGCTCCCACCCCTCAATACCCAGCAGAAACTATTTTGCCCTTATCTCTAATTTTGTTGTAGAGAGAGTATAAGCAATAATAGGAAGGAACAAGGGGTTTTGCTGGTTGAGATAAGGATAGCTATACAGGGCATTGACTCACATTGATTTCCTGTGCGTGGGTGTTACCTTCTAGGTTAATTCTTTTTGATCTAACTTTTCTCTAGTTCCTGGTCCCCTTTTCCTATTGGCCTCAGTTGCTTTAAGGTATCTGCTTTAGTTTCTCTGCATTAAGGGCAACAAATGCTAGCTAGTTTTTTAGGTGTCTTACCTATCCTCACCCCTCCCTTGTGTGCTCTCGCTTTTATCATGTGCTCATAGTCCAATCCACTTGTTGTGTTTGCCCTTGATCTAATGTCCACATATCAGGGAGAACATACGATTTTTGGTCTTTTGGGCCAGGCTAACCTCACTCAGAATGATGTTCTCCAATTCCATCCATTTACCAGCGAATGATAACATTTCGTTCTTCTTCATGGCTGCATAAAATTCCATTGTGTATAGATACCACATTTTCTTAATCCATTTGTCAGTGCTGGGGCATCTTGGCTGTTTCCATAACTTGGCTATTGTGAATAGTGCCGCAATAAACATGGATGTGCAGGTGCCTCTGGAGTAACAGTCTTTTGGGTATATCCCCAAGAGTGGTATTGCTGGATCAAATGGTAGATCGATGTCCAGCTTTTTAAGTAGCCTCCAAATTTTTTTCCAGAGTGGTTGTACTAGTCTACATTCCCACCAACAGTGTAAGAGGGTTCCTTTTTCCCCGCATCCTCGCCAACACCTGTTGTGGTGTTGCTGATGATGGCTATTCTAACAGGGGTGAGGTGGAATCTTAGTGTGGTTTTAATTTGCATTTCCTTTATTGCTAGAGATGGTGAGCATTTTTTCATGTGTTTTCTGGCCATTTGAATTTCTTCTTTTGAGAAAGTTCTGTTTAGTTCACATGCCCATTTCTTTATTGGTTCATTAGTTTTGGGAGAATTTAGTTTTTTAAGTTCCCTGTATATTCTGGTTATCAGTCCTTTGTCTGATGTATAATTGGCAAATATTTTCTCCCACTCTGTGGGTGTTCTCTTCAGTTTAGAGACCATTTCTTTTGATGAACAGAAGCTTTTTAGTTTTATGAGGTCCCATTTATCTATGCTATCTCGTAGTTGCTGTGCTGCTGGGGTTTCATTGAGAAAGTTCTTACCTATACCTACTAACTCCAGAGTATTTCCTACTCTTTCTTGTATCAACTTAAGAGTTTGGGGTCTGATATTAAGATCCTTGATCCATTTTGAGTTAATCTTGGTATAGGGTGATATACATGGATCTAGTTTCAGTTTTTTGCAGACTGCTAACCAGTTTTCCCAGCAGTTTTTGTTGAAGAGGCTGCTATTTCTCCATCGTATATTTTTAGCTCCTTTGTCAAAGATAAGTTGCTCATAGTTGTGTGGCTTCATATCTGGATCCTCTATTCTGTTCCACTGGTCTTCATGTCTGTTTTTGTGCCAGTACCATGCTGTTTTTATTGTTATTGAAAAGCTATTATTCATTTGATGCAGGCGGACCAGGTAGAATAGCATTTGGAAGGATAAAAATGTTAAGGCTGAAACAAAAGGTTGAGGATAGAGCATACTGATGTCTATTGATTCTGTCAAGTGCTTATGCCAGCTGGGCTTCTTTGCTTTGGTGGATTTCCTTTTGGGAGGATCGAAACTCGAAAGCGAATCTGTCATATTTATGCATTAAGATTACAAAATGATCATTGATATTCCATATGAAAACACTGTCAGGATCTAAAACCATTTCAAATCAAAGAGTACCCCACTTATCTCAAGAGTTGGTAGTCATCAATTATCTCTGTATCACTTTTCAAAAATCTGTTTTTAGAACTCCAACAAAACACAACTTTAAAGTATGTATGAATTTTCTTACACTAGGAAGTTTTTCCTAATGTTCATATTTTATTAAATTTTCCTAATTTCTGTTCAAAACACCATTTTGTCAGTGCCCTTCTAATAAGTCTTTTAGTACAGCCCTAGTAAGTTAAGGATGTAGAAATCTTTATCCTTTTCTATGCAATTTGCAATTTTTTTGGTTTTAAAGTGAATTTTATTTTCTATTTTTGTGATTCTTTTGTTCTCTGGCTTGTCTCCATTTTTTTGTGGGCCTTACTTATAGATGATTCTTTGCACACAACAGGTAAAAAGATGATCAAATCCAAACAGGAATGACTGCATGTTGTCACTTGCCTTTTATAGGGTGGCAGTCCTCATCTTTGTATCCTAGGCAGCTGAAATGGTGCCTGAACACAACAGATATTCCAAGAACATATTCTGACTGAATTTATGGCTTTACAAAGAACTGATACTTGTAAAGTAGACTAAAAAGTGCTGAGGACAGAGCAGATACTGAATAATGCTTTTTTTTAAGGGAATATCTTTAAAAATAAATTTTTTGAGTTGGGGATTAGTTCAGTGGTAAAGTACTTGTCTAACAGATGTGCAAGGCCCTGGGTTTGGTCTCTAGTATAGAACAAAATAAATAAAACTTTAAACAATTGTTAAAAAAGTTCTAGATCTACAGAAACACTGTTCTTAGATACTTCACACCCAATTCTCCCATTCTTCACATCTTACATTAGTGTGATTTATTTGTTACAATCAGTGATTAAATAGTATCCATACTTTACTGAGAGTTCCTTAGTTCTTACCAAAAGTTCCTTTTCTGCTCCAGGATCCCATGTACATTTAGTAGATGTCAATCCATATTCTGTTGCTAATACAATACCACAGATTGGGTAAATTATAAAGGAAGATTTATTTTGGCTCATAAGGGCTGGTGGCAGAGTCCCAAGGTGGGACATCCTGTGGGAAGAGACAGAGTGCTTCAGAGACCTAGCCAAATTGGCTTTTATTGCAGGCTCTCCCTCTAAAAATAATCCATTAACTCATGAATCACATGAATGAATTAATCCATTCATGAAGGCAGAGCCTACCCAGTCCCACCTCTTAACATCTCACAATGGTGATTAAATTTTGCTAAGGGTTTCAGAGGGGAAAAACCTATTCAAACCATAGCAATACCCATGTCTCTTCAGGCAACTTTCTTAAAACAAAACAAAACCAAAAAAAAAGTAAAATAAAAACTTAAATCAGGCAAGGTGGCTCACACCTATAATCCTAATTACTAGGGAGGCAGAAATTGGGAGGACTGCAGATCAAGGCCAGCCCAGGGCAAACAGTTAGTGAGACCCCCTCATATCAACCAATAAAAAGCTGGATGTGGTGGTACTCATCTACGATCCCAGCTACAGGGAGGTGTAAACAGGGAGATCAGGTCTAGGATAGACCAGGCACAAATATGAGACCCTATTCAAAAAAATACTTAAAAGCAAAAAGGGCTGGGGGCATTTCTCAAGTGAAAGAGCACCTCCCTAGCAAGCGCAAGGCCTTGAGTTCAAACCCTGAAACTTCCAAAGAACCAAAAATGTCTAAGTTGAGTATCTGGGTAAAGGGTATATGGAAATGTACTGTTCTAACTTTGTAACTTTAAGAAATTGAGCTGGGTGCCAATGGCTTATGCCTGGGAGGCAGAGATAAGGAAGATCACAATTAGAGGCCAGCCTGAGGAAAAAGTTAATGAGACCCCTTCTCAACCAAGAGTTGAGTGCAGTGGTGTGTGCTTATCATCCCAGCTATGTGGGAGGCTGAGATCAGAAAGACTGTGATTTTCAGGCCAGTTTGGGCAAAAAGTTCATGAGACCCCATCTCAACAGAAAAAGCTAAGCATGGTGGTATGTGCCTGCCATCCCAGCTACTATGGGAAGCATAAATAGAAGGAATGAAGTCCAGGCCACCTGGGCATAAATGTGAAACTCTATTTGAAAAATAGCTAAAGCAAAATGGGCTGAGGTGTGATTCAAGTGTTAGAGCACCTACCTAGCAAGTGCAAGAGTCTAAGTTCAACCCCGTATTACTGGAGGAAAAAAAAGGA